GAACGTAGAATTTTTCTACAATATTTAATTCAACTAAAATTAAATATTTAGCCATCAAAAATTCAGTCAAAACCGGGTCAAACTCAAGTTTTACAACTGATTTTTCCAACAGATGTAACATTTGTGTTTAGCATGTGTGTTATTTTTAATTATTATGTACCTAATGTAATTGAGCTCATTGCTTGCAAACTTTAAGTAGGAATATAATTGATCGATTATGAAGTAGTTTTTCTAGATCAATGGAGAAAAGATTCACTATTCAAAATTCAGTAGTATAATCAATCATCTTTACATGTCACATCAATTTTAATTGACTCACATAATTTTAACTACTCATCACTTTTAATCACATTTTTCCTACTTTTATATGAAATCAACTTAATCATTTTATTTTTAATATTATTCTAATACAAACTCAAAATATCACTCAAACATAACTCATTTTTTTCATAATCTAACTATAGTTAACCTAAAAAAGTCAATCAAACCTCAATCAAATCTTTATCCAATCATTCCCTAAATAGTATACGGAATCTATAGGTGAAAAGAATATTTATGAATTATCAACTTCTGCAGTAGAATATGCACAAATTCGGCCCTTTCCGTGGGGCACCGTTGGATTACAAACACTCACACTTGTGTTGGTGTAATGGTTAAGATGGGGGCAATGACGACGAATATGGTAACCCTATGATTGACCCATTACAATAAATTTATATATATATATAATAGTTATATAATTAAATGAAGTGATATCACTAGTTACAACTTTAACAATGGGTAAGCAAACAATACTTTTCATGTTACATGGTGCATGTGTAAATTTCCCCAGACAATATAAGCTTGTGATACCTATGATGTGATGATATCTGCATACATCAACATGCTTCATACATAAATTCATCTACTAAAGTGGAAGTTGCCCCGGTCTAATTCTACCGATTATAATTATAGTCGGATACATTGTTGTCTAAATATTTTGTCTCCTTATCTGAAATGTGATCAATTATTCTATGCAGTTAAAAGGGTTAAATCTGGTTTATACGCTGATCAATTGCTCCAATTCCCAACATCAAACCAGATGCCACCAAGATTCAGGTTTCTATCCATCTATTTCATAATGATACCAGAGTTGGTATAATTATTAGGCCAATAGGATCAAGTGCTTAGTTACCAACACTTGAATCTCACAAGTCGCAACAAACTGGAAAAGCGATATTGGAAAGCATACGGATGACAGTACCAGGTGAACACTGTCAGCCTACATACAAATCTCTCACAATTCTCTCCCATCCACCCCAGTCATACTACAGAAGCACAATAACAGGGATTCATATACTTTTTCCAGACAAAAGAACTGAGCTTTCTTGAGTAGTGATTGAAGATCCGAGCCAATCAATCACGTGCTTTGCAGCTCAGCATACAGTACGACCATAGCATATTGATGCAATGTAGAGATTTTTGGACCATTTTTCCTGCAAAGCAAAAACAAGTACAATCAATCAGCAGGCTGCATGTACCTCTCAAAATTTCAAGAAAGTCTGAGTAAGAGTATAAAGTTATGTATATGGAGTGAAAAGCAAAAGTTGCGGAGGAGAGACGGTACGGTACCTTCACGTGGGTGCTAGGAAAGGCAGAAGTCCGGAGAGTCTCCTGAGTCTCATCCACCATTTTACGACGAGGCATACTAAGTATGAAAGCTGCTTGATCAGAGGTTGCAGCCATAGAAGTAATTCTGTAACCATTTTCCCACCTGCGATGTATTCCCTCACTTGGGTAAAGAAAATCAAGCTCCACCACCTATATGTCGTTAATTCCATATGAGTAAAGTAAAGTGAGCTACAGACCATCTATTTACAGAGAATTCACATACCTGGTCACACCAGCTGGATTCATTCAAGAGGTAAAATAAAAATTATTCCAAGATTTACCTGTTCAGAGTATCCTGAATTTCTAGACATAACAACACCCCAACGGCTGCCAGCAGTGGTCATAGATGTGACATGAAAACCTTCTTTCCACTTTTTATTTATCCACTTGAAAGGAAATGATTCACTAACTTTGTATGACTGTTGGGTGTATGGAGTTCCTACAGAATAGCCAAACTCAAAACAATGATAAGTTCACTGGCCCATCTTATCTTGCACACGGCTGAGTTCTATCGACTAAAATATTAGCAATGGCATCATATGTAGCCAGGTTAAGAAAGAGGATGCAACACAAAAGAGACAAAGTTTCAACCAACCTCTAGACATAACAACCAGAGAACTTCCATTAGCTGCACCAGCTATAGAACTGATGTAATAATTTTTCTCCCATTGTTCCATGATCCAATCCTGTAAAGAAATGTGAAAATAAGCACATACTACTGCCACAAAGGAGAAAACCACCCAAAAGTATTGACTTGAATTATCAGCTACAAGAAAAAAAAAAGAAAAAAAAAAAACCTTATGGAGGAAGACAGCTGAGAGCTCATACACCTGGGAACTGAAACCCGTTCCAGCATCCATGATCAAAGCCCAAAGATTTGTAGCTGAAGCCACACAGCTAATATATAACCCATCTTCGTTACCTTTCTCTACATGCTGGCGCAGCCTCGAGTCGGCAACATTGTAGTGGTACCTACAAACACAATAAAAGAAATGCCTCTATAATTGAAAGTGTAAACCATCGGATTCAAGGATATTATGCAAGCCATATTATCAAAGGACACTCACCTCTGTTTCATGGGGCGCCGTGCATTATACACTGAAATCCACTGAGTTGCAGGACTACCCAATCGCACTTTCTTTTTTGGCTGTTCATCCTCTTCCAAGTTTATGAGCAACCTTCCACGCTTTTGCCCAACCTATGGAGAATAATAGAAATAATTTAAGATATGACTAATATTAACTAAATATATCTTGAACAAAAAAGCTAGAATATCCTAGAATATGTAACCTTGAGAGCTCCATCAATTCTTATAGGTCTCAGTGACGAGCAAGGTTCAATGAGACTATCAAAAAGTGATATCAGCTTAGAATAATTTGGCTCCTCATCAAACTTCATATTAGAAACAGCGTCAAGGAACTGTTTGAATGGAGGTGGGCAAAAGCAACACATCAACTCTGGAGAAGTCGACATTTTCTTTTTACAGACAAGGAAACTCTTGTTGTCACCCTGCCAAGAAAAAAGAAGAAGAAAACATAACAATAAGTTAACTTAAACCCAATGAAGTAAGAATGTTGTAACTTACTAAGGCAATAATGCCCTTTCACCTGATAACCTTGCCATGGCAGCCTTCCCTTTATGAGAAATATCAGTGTATATGCTAGGGACTCCAGATCATCCCTCCTACTTCCAGTACGACCCAAATGTGCATGCACACTTGCATACCTTATTGTGCCTCTGTCGATGGACCAATGGAGTTTGAAAGTTCCAACTATGAATAAGAATATAGTTCATGGTACTAGGATGTAAATACTAATTACTGCGGATCCCATCTATTATCTATTATCAAGTTTAACAGGGAAGCCGCTCATGATCTAGTAAGTAGCCCAGAATAACTTCAATTATTTTGGAATACGGAAATTGGCAGCCGAGGTGATGACACAATCAAATACAGCAAGCAAAAGTTGGCTCGAGGATATGACTACATGTACAAAGAACATAATATAGGCACAAAATTATAGCTTTTCAACCTTAAAACAAGCCCTGGGTAAAAAGCAAATAGAGGGTTGCAAATTTCTCATAACCGCTTGAATTAAACACCCAAATAAGTATCAGGATGGAAGAGCCAATAGAATGAGATAAAACAGAATGCCTACATTAGTTCTCAAGCTAGCAGCCTGACATGATCAAACAAACTTTCACGTAATCCTATTATATGACATTGTTATTTGATTAATATTGACTAAATGAGTTGAAACTGCAAAAACCTGAATATATCTGGCCTCTGATCATAGTCCACATGCTGACCAGATGAAGAATCCTTCCATCTAGAAGCTGCACCACCAACATATTGGAAACAAGGGAGAGTAAATGCACATGAAAGTCAAAGGGTCAAACAAAATGAAGTCAATGGAGATAATAAAGCAACTTATTATAGTTGTGTTCCATATGGTTGGTCTAAGACCATCCAACAGAAGGTAGTCATGACACAGAATATGAGAAATCATGGGGTCTCATACCTAAACCAAGATCAATAAGATACAGCTTTTTCTCATCAGGGGTTCCGGGTTGACCAAGTAGAAAGTTCTCTGGCTTGACGTCTCCATGGACAAATCTAGTAGTACAGTAATAGCTAATAATTGTGTATTCAAGTGAAGAAAGCAAATAAAAAACCAATAAATGAAGAATTGAGTAGTAAAATCAGCAGCATTTCTAAGAACAATGCGACTACAAGTGCTGGGATATATATCAAATAGGTCATACCCTTTCATGTGAAGCTTTTCAAGAATTGATATTGCCTCCACAGCAATGCAAGCCGCCATATTTGGAGACATCCTGCTCCAGGAACCCATCATCAGTATAAAGAAAAGCAGCAGAAAGGATATAAATGCCAAGCCTAATGTAAATTTCTGCTCATGATTTAGTGTTCGAGTTCCAGTTCAAGTGAACTGAAGGGGGGTACTGGGGGGAGGGGGGATGGGTTGGTGGTGGTTGGTTTAGACAGAGAAGACATACGACTGGCCCAAGGAATTCCAAACATCCCAAAGACTTGGTCCAAGCATGTCCATGACCTGAAAAATTAAAATATTAGAACAATATAGAAAACAGTAACTAAGCCGGATGCAAACCAAAACTCACCAGGATATAGAAATCTCCTTGCCGACCCTTGTAATGAACCCATGGGATACCATAACATCCGTTGAGGGTGCTTTTATGTAAGAAACAAGTATCAACAAGTCAACACTTAAATCAGAAAGAAAAAAAATCACAATTTAAACAGAAAACTTACTTGTACACCTGCCACTCATAAGGAGGGCCATAATTACAACCCTTGCTACTTCGGTGCTCACACTTCAATGCAACCTTATAGATGGAAATATTTTCAAGGGAATTCATAAATGATAATATCTAGAAAATCCGCATAAGGTAAAAACATCCGCAAATACCTCAATAGCATCTGGTCCTGTTCTTTCAGTGCCACCACTTACCCTTCTGCCAACATAAACTTGACCAAATCCTCCCTTACCCAATTTCCTTTCTGTCTTATACACAGGAGAATTACCCACTTGAACCTTCAACAACAAATCCACACATAAGGAGCAAAGTTAGCGAATATGTTCCTGCATATCTGAAGTTCAAAACCCATAAATTGGGGCCCTTATATTCGAATTACTTTGAAAAGCACTAAAAATGTGAAAGATAAAAATTACCCTTTCAGGCACCGGAGTTGTGCTCGCATCTTCTTCAGCTCCCATTATTTTATCCCCACTCCCACCATCCATGGCAATTTCTTTATCTGCAGCGCCTTCTATTCTATTAAATGCTAGCTGTGCAGCCCCTAGACCAATAGCTTGAGGAACAACCTCACAGTGTGGCTGTGGGGCTAAATCGATCAACCTACCTCCCCTGCCTCTACCAGCACCAGTTGGCCTGGCGGGTGTTACTGCAGAAGGTCCTTTACCTACAGCAGTTGCATTGCCTCTGCCTCTGCCTCTCCTTCTGGTTCTAGCCTGAGCAGGTGCAACAATATTTGCTTCTTGATCAGCGGTTTCAGGGGCAGGATGAAGATCACCAAGACGTTTTGATCTCCGTGCTCCGCTACGCAATTCTGGCATCATCACCCATGCAAAATCACCTCAGATTCATTCCCACACCTTCTGTCAGAATCCGGAGTAGCCTAAGCCAAACCACAATGCAAAAAAAAAAAAAAAAAA